TTTCTCACAATAATTATCAACAATGACTTAACAAGGTGGGAAACAGATAATATCAATATTCAACACTTTATTTCTATTAATCTCAGCAATTGTTTAAATTTTCAGACGATCACTTCTACAACATTTCAGAAAAATGTCCCAAATTTGACTAGCCACTGACAAACCCTTTTAACAAATCATAGTCAATAGTCAACTTCAATATGAGAATAAAAATCTGACAGTATAAAAAATAAATAATTTAATTTTAAACGCAGCTCACTGGTGAGTTGTGTTATTTTTAGAACAGGCCTGCGGGCGACTCATGTGGTCCTTGGGGGCGACCTGGTGCCCGCGGGCACCGTGTTGGTGACCCCTGCTCTAAGGCCATGTGAGAGCTGACGCATGTGTGATCCGATCACCTGAGTTGCATGTTAGAAACAGGACCTACATGTCTTGACGTTTTGGACAAAGACAGGGGAGAAACAGTTTGCATGAGAGCAGGCAGGAAATACTGAACTGTGATAACTGACAGGAAATGACATAATCAGCCAGTCTTCCCCCTGACAACCGACAGCACTGGCCGCAGTCAGGTTCACGTCGGTCTTGTTGGCGTGCTGCTGTGAGAAAGCCACCACTGTTCACCAGACGACAGCTGAGACATGAGTGAGGACTGTCTTTATAAGACATGCTTATACGGAAGATGCCTCAAGTTCATGTTACTCTGGCCAATGGAATTTCAGCTGTGTCTGTCTCCACTATATTTCTACTACCCGACTGCTCCCTAGTTCCATCTGAACCTTATTTTAATTAGGTAAGACAGTGAAATAAAAACCTAATAAAACATGTTTCTCTTCTTTATTATTACATTTGCTCTCTCTCATGAGCGCTTTCTACTTCCTTTTTTTCTCTTTCCATTTCTCGCACTTCTTCAAACTAAATTCCCTTTCCCACTTTCAGCTGATTTGTCCCCTTTGGACATTTTCATAATTTATTGTGCTCTGAATCATAGTGGTTTTATGTATGGGTTTTTATTCTCTAACCGATAAATTAAGTAAAAAAAGATACCGATGTCTATAAAGTCGGTTACAGGAAGTACACAGGCCCTTGCTATGTAAAGTGCCTTGATAATGTATGTTGTAATTTGGCACAATAAAAATAGAACTGAATTTAACGTCCAACCATCAAAATGGCAGTCAGCTGTGTGTTAACTGTTCCTGAATGAGCAGGGCACAGTGACACGGTGGTTATCAAGGCAAAGATACAAGAGCACTTTCAAGGTACTGAATTTTAGTACAGTATGGCGAGTCATGAAAATATAGAAACAACACAGTACAGCTGTAAAACTGCAACAGCATGTCTTCCTGGCTGAACCACGTTGTGTGTTAAGCTGTTTTCAGACATGACCACCGGGTAAAATCCGGAGCATTGGCTTCGGAGTTTGCCTTTTACACACGTGAGGTTTTCTGCACTGACATATTCACAACAGCACCAAATCCTCCTCAGGCAAGAGATGGAGCAGCTGGATGCAGCAAACAGAGACAGGAAGTGACGTATTAACTCTGCTGCAGAGATCACGTGATATTGTTTCCAGCACAACACTTACAGCCACCGTCAGTGACTTTTACGTTTTTATGACGCCGCATTTTCACCAGGAGATATCGGTTTTCTTTGAATTTTTTGAATTTTTGCATCTGTCGCACATCAGAAGCGTCATCAACCCCCCCTCACACATCGATTTCTACAGACATTATACTAGGAGGCCAGGCAGATAAAGTCTGTAGAAACTGCAGGGCGTCTCACTCAGACATTTGCAGTCACACAGGCACCTCTTCTACAGAAAATACAGAGGAATTGTGGAGTCCAGTGCATGTCTGAAAGCAGCTTTAGTGTGTGTCTAAAGTGTTTAGTGTGAGCAACTGTTGCCTGGGTGCTTCACCAGTAGCAGCTTTATGGCAGAAACCACTGTTGAAAAAAACCTCTCACATGACATTTGGACTATTGCTGGAAGGGAAACTGGAAGGAGGCTCTGCTGAGAGCTTTTAAGTCCTTGCACTCAATGCTGTTTGGCACAAGTCGACCAGCGCGTACCAGCACAAAATGCACTATTATAGAGCTGAAACAATCATTTCACCACAGTAAAGGCGAAGTGAACAGAATCTGCAACAAAGACGTTTATGTGCAATTTGCACGTAGAAGGTGCTTTTTGGTTCATACACACTTGGTTGGAAGTTTTATAGGCAAGTGTGAAAGCACTGTCTTTGAATGGATGGAGGGCTGGAAGGTTACTCAGCTACTTAAGTGAAATTCGGCAACTGTAAGAGCTTGTTTTTAGGATCACATGATCACACACACTCAAGTGCACACTGAAAGACAGGTACACAGAGAGGGCCAGTGATTAGTCCAGTTCACCCTGCCCGCCGAGGACGTGGAACCTTTATGGTTTATTTGACGGTTCATGAGTTCCCAGATGGACAGTCTGACTATGACAGACGGCTCCATTGTAAATATGTTTGTGAGCGAGAGAGAGACCGAGAGAGCGACAGAGTGAAAGTGAGCTACAGCTGGGTTAGGAAGGCCATAGTGAGTCCATGTGCAGCATATAGGTCAACAATGAAGCAATGAGACAAATATTCAGGTTCATTATGAATCTGTGGTGGGACAAATTAAAAGCAACTGAAGGGTTCTGAAAGCAAACGCTCTGAGATGCAATACTTCCTGTAAACACCTCCCGATGACATCATAAACAAACTTTGTGCCAGTTCTTTTTAAAGGAGCAACAATCAATGTGGAAACCAAACTGTGTATGTGGCATTCAAATTTAAAGGACTGGCCTTACTGTTTCAGCCCAGCCATAAACCTAGCTGATTGTATGTTGTGTAAGACGAGCTTCTACATCTCACATTTGTAAAGATAGTGAAGCTACAGAAAAAAGGAAACATGACCATGGGACACACTATTACCAGTTTTTCTTTTAAATGACAAACAGATTTTAACTTAAGGACCTTGCTGGCTTCTTACCAGAGCTTTCAACTGCTTCTCGCAGTCTTCAGGTGTTTGCTTAGTTGCCATGGAGACGACAATGAAGCAAAAAGACTATCTCCATGACAACTGAGAAAACTACATCTGCCAATGACTGCACGTGGGATGTGGTTGAAAGTCACATAAAAATAAAAAGATATATAAAAATAGTCAATAACTGGACCAAACCTGTGAACAACAATATACTCTCAGTTCAGCTCTGGGAAACATTGAAAAATCAATTTCCATAACAACGATGCAAACTCATGAGCTGATTGTTGTGATGCAGTCAAAAGCTCCCAGAGAGCTACTGAGTGAGCCTTATGGTGAAAGTGTTTTTATCAAGAAACATCACGTTAGATCACTAACCGATTCCATTACCGAGGTCATTATCTTTACAGAAGAGTAGCAAACTCAAGTGAATCCACTGATAAAGACCATTGTGTGCAATTTACTAATTATGGATTAAAAAATGTGAGGGTTATGCAGAGGAAACATTTCGAAGGATAGAGTAACACATAATACTTGCATGTACTGTCACTGAAACTAAACGCCTTTTTGTTTATCTGACATTCATAAGAACCAACTGCTCCGCAACTGAGCTCAAATAGAAATGAAGGAGCGATTAAAGGACACAAACAAATTCCCAGTTTCAATCATGTGTTAATTGTTAATGAAACTCTTGTTATTTGCCAAATACATATCCAAAAACAATATCATAGTCTTTTTACATCTAAATCTCTAAGTCTTTTCTCTTCCTGTAAAACAGGACGTTTACTCATTCCGTGTCCAATGAGAATTCTTTCTGGGAATTTCAGCCTCCTCCCTGTGACTTCAGAACTCTGCTAGTTAGCGACTGTCATACAGGGACCCACGCTGTCCGCTAAATTCAGTGTAGACGAAGATTGTGATGAGAAGTCCTCAACAACAGAGAGGTGGGTTTTCACCATGACTTTGTTGTCGTTAATGTTGAGCTGCTCGTTTCGGTCACCTCTGCTACAGTGGTGTGATGCATGTGCAACGCTACTGGCTGCTGCAAATGCCAATCAATACCCATGACAATTCCATCCATAGCTTTGTGTTGAGGAAGCCACTCTAACATCCTGTTCTTTAACTCCTGGAGGGGATGGAAAATAATTTAGGAGGCAGAGCAGCATCTCTAGTGCTTTTTTTTTTTATATTCAACTTTGGCAGTAGTTCAGATTCTTGAGGCGATCATTGGTCTCGTGATTTGAGCTGCCCTCTCTTGATTAACTACCAGTGAGACAAAAGTGAATGATGTTATTTAAAAAAAAACTATCTCAAGCACTTGTAGCCTATTGTCATAATGAACATTTCTAGATTTTGGTTTTGGAAGAATGTTTTCCAAATGATGACCTCCAGCTCTTTCCCTCATTCTGTAAGTTGGGACAAATGCAATAATAATTACGTTATTGTTAATAGAGCTAGTGGTACGGTCTTTACAGAAGAGTACTTCACAAATCATAGGTCTAATCGTCTATTCTCTCAGTTCGACCAGGATGAATGGATGGATGGATGGTAGTCTGTTCTTTTAATGCACTCAGCTTTGCTGTTTGACATCAATCCAGCACTGTGAAACTTGGTGTACAAGATGTTGATTGGTATAGAGCACGTATTATTTCTAAACCCTGCCTCTCACCCAATATCAGCTGGGATTGGCTGTAGCTCCCCCTGCAACCATCAGAGGATAAACAGAGTAGATCATAAATGCATGAATGGAGGGATGAAGTCGTTTCTGTTAATTCACTCAGTTTTGCTGGGTGACACAAAATCAGCAGTGGGATTGTGTGCATTAGACGTTGGTATAGATCATGTGTTATCTGTGGTTTTGTGTTCTTGTGTAGGATAATGTGCAACATGCATGTTGTGAACGTGAGCATCAGTTCTGGTGAGTGGCTCGGTCTGTGTTGGTGTGACTTCCTTCAGCTGCTGCTCTCTGTACTCCGACACGCTGAGCAGTGCCTTTGCTTGCAGGGACCCACCTGATTTTGTAGTTGGGAAGCGTGTGTTTCTTTTTGATCACCCTCTTCAGCTGGTTGACTATGATGGAGGTGAGCTGAGGCAGCGGTCTGCCCTCGAACTGAGACTTCACCTCGAAGTCCACGAGCGGGTCCTCCAGGAAGGAGAAGGACCAGTGGGAGAAGGGCATGCGCGTGAACTGCAGCCTCAGCCTGCCCACCACGCGCCGCATCTTCACGAACAGGTAGGCAGACTTCCCGAACACCAGCTCCACGTCGATGGCGAGGTGGAAGCCGCCATTGTACTCGATGTCCACCTCGAAGTTGAGCTCCTCCGGCATGCCGTCCTCGTTCAAATGCACCGGCTTCATGAGGGTGGCGGTTTTGAAGACGGGCAGAGAATTGCCCAGGGAGATGTCTCTGAGGCTGAGCCCCTCCAGGAGGCGACCCGCCGTCTTGGTCTGCAGCAGCTCCTCAAACTCCACCTTGATCTTTTTGGTGAGCCAGTGTCGGACCACCGGGGTGTCGCGCAGCTCCCTGAACAGGAAGAGAAAAATCGCGTTGAGGAAATTGCACGTCTCGGGTTTGTTTGCGTCCCCGTGCTCGCTGTGTGTCGGCGGCTGTTTGGGGCTGCCGGTGACAGCCGCTTCCTGCTGCCGCGCCGAGGCGGCCTCCTGCTGCCTGTGCGCGGCGGCGGCGGCTGCCGTGTTGTCCTGCTGCTGCTGCTGTCCCGCCTCGGCATGTTGGGCATTAAAGTAATCCCTCAGTGCGTTTTCAGGCACCACTTTCACATACTGCACCGTCCTGCCCGCGGGCTCCGGGCTCCTCCGGTAGATCAGCAAGAACTGAACTATCAGCGTGACGACTGCTCCGGAGAACACGGAAATGAGGATCAGGTAAATCATCTCGAGCAGCTGCCCCGACGCCCGTCTCGGAGTCACGGTGTGTTCATGCCCCAAAGGTTTAGTCGCGCGAACAAAGCAAGTTCCACCTGGTCGCTCTCAAAGCTGCCATATCATCTGCTTCTTCCCTGAGCCTCGCTCGCTGCACCTGATTGGACGAGACGCTCACGTCCGCGTGCGTAATGACGCAGTGAGTGTGTTTCTTTCGATGCGTTCAAGTCATGGCGGATTCCCCGCTGCGCCCCCTCCGTCGAACTGCCGCTGACCAGTGAATGGTCCCTGACGACAAGTGGGGGAGACAGACACAGAATCGCTGTAATAATTGTGTCTGATAAACACAGAATGTCCCCTCAGGTGAAAGACTTCCTGACGAGCCCCCGGTCACTCCAACATGGCAGCAGGTTCACACACTATTGCGCAAACACCAGCTCTTTCGTCAATAACTTGCAGTTCAAATGATTTCTTCCCATCATATTAGTTATTGTCACGTTATAATGACTGTTTTCCAATTTAATTAGAAACTTTTCGTCTTTTATTCAACAACATATTACTCTTATATCTTGTTATGACAGAGGGAAGGACCCTGGACGAACCAGCAGCCTCTGCGCAACACCTCCATCAGGCAGAGGAGTGTGTTCAGTGGCAGACTGCTGTCTCAGTCCTGCTCCACAAACAGACTTAACAACTCTTACTCCTCCTGCTCATCAGACTGTACAGCTCTCAGTGATGGCAGGAGGCACAATGGACAATGGACTAATCTCTCTGCACAACTTCCTGGACTCTCTGTCATTGCCATGTCTGACTACCTCTGCTACATGCTGTGATTGTGACTTTCATTCATTCATTCATTTCATTCATCTGTTTACAGCCTAATTGAATTTAATTGCACACGGTCCTTTATCCCGATTTCTCCCAATCTTCTACAGTCACTTTATATTTCTGATATAGTTTATAGTTGTATAAAACATTTTTATTTCTATAGTTACCTTCTAGTTTTTATATAGTTTTTGTATAGACTTTTAGCACGGGTTAACTTAACACAGTTCTATATTTATT